AGTCGTGTCCAGCTCTTTTCAACCCCATGGACTGTAGCCCATGGGTTCCTCTGTCCATGGAATTCTCCAGACAAGAATACTGGAGTGGGTATCTTCCTGACCCAGGGATCAAACCCAGGTCTCCTGCATTGCAGAAACAAGTCCAGTATATTTTAACACACCACCTTCTGCAAGGCTGTCTGTCAGTACTTTTATACAGTATCTCAACAAATATAAAATTTCCAGTTGGTTATCCATATATCATTCTTTTTGTGTGTTAAACACATGATTTGTCTCTTTCTACTAAACTAACAAGATATTGAGTAACAAATACGTAATTTTAAAGTGATGAGGATCAAACTGAATGAAGTTTTCAGGATAGTAAGAAAAGCTGTTTGGCAAATAATGGGGAGATATACATTTAGGTGGGCTTCCCAGGTGGCACAGCAGTAAAGAAATGCAGGAGATGTAGGAGACATGTGTTCAATCCCTGGGTCGGCAACCCACTCCAGTAATCTTTCCTGGAAAATTCCATGGACAGAGGAGGAGCCTGGAGAGCTACAATCTATGGGGTCACAAAGAGTTGGACACAACTAAAAATATACACACACATACATTTAGGTAAATACGAATACTGTCTTGATATAGTCATTCTTCTTTAATTTTTTTCCCCAATAATATTTAATTAAGACCAACATAGAATCATTGTGGACTTTCTTTCCCCCGTAAGAGGATCATCTCATTTCTAATGTCCTGTCCAGGAGGCACCTCTGGTGTTGCTCTATGGTAGGAAATGCCCTCTAGTTCAAGATTAATATTAAGAAGCCTGTAGGGGCACGTTTGAGCAACAAATCCCTGTAAATTAAAAGGGGTACATGTATTCATTTTGGCAATGCAAAGCAATACCAGTAAAAAAAAAAAAAAGCATAAGAAATAATAATAGTTACTAATTAAAGGGCTTTATAGCTTATGAAATACTGAAATTATTATAAAATGGTTTAATTTTACATTTTCTAAGCTTGTTTAAAAAAAAAAGCATCACTGCCAAAGGGAAAAAAAAAGATTCTCTTCGAGTTCACTTTCACATTAACTGTAGTGTTTTCACGAGGGAAAGTGCTCTTGAGAGATTTTATAAACACAAATTTAAGTGAGACAACTGTGTAACTCTCACGTTAATCTGATAACAGTCATATATGTGGAGAATTCAACCACCAGTCCCAGAAGCAAGTCAGTCCTCATGTTTCTAGAAAAGAAAAGCCAGTCCTCCTTCAGAACTAATGACCTACTTCTCACAGAGCATGTTCAAAAACAGTCCTTAGAATTGGAAAATTTGGGATGGGGATATTTTTTGTTTTTCCCCTAGGAAATCTACTGTGTGGCCAAATTGTTTGTTAGACCATTCAAAGTGAAGACAAAAGCTCAGTTTCACAAGACGTGCTATGCAGCAACAGCAATTAAAGCACTTCTCTACTTCTATAAAACCTTGAGAAGTTTCCAAAGAGGAAAAACTATTCTAACTAGTTATTTATGCAGATTAAATATTTTACTACCTGAAAAAAGCACTTGTACTATTTTTTTGTAGAAATATATAATACAGTGTTATATGTGTTCCATGAAAGGGTAACTCCTAATTATGGGAGGGAAATACTGTTTCTCCTTAGAGAAATGACTTGCTTGGGTCGTAAGTAAATCTGACGTGTTTCCTTTTGAACACTTTTGGAGCCAGTGTTTGTAAATGTGGTGAAGCTCATTTCTAAACAGCCCTGACTGAAGCTGTGATTCTTGAATCACTGCACAGTGCTTTAACTGTATTTTTATTTTACTTAGAATTCCTAGATTGAGTCTGTTATGGCTTTATAAATATTCTGTAAGGAGTTTCATATATGGATGTAAACAAGCACTATACTTTCATGCTCTGTGAAAGAGTGTGGAAAAATAAAATACTGGTTACATGGACTTAGAGTCTCTTGGTCCCAACATATCTAAACATGAAGAGTATAAATGAAATGTATTATGTGATTGCCCAGATTTTCATTGTGAAGGATGCACACTAACAGCACCTCTTTAGCAACTGCAGAGAAGGTTAAGACTTCCAATTGCAAATGAAATTGCAGGCTTAAAATGTGATTTTTATAAGTTAAAAGGTTTCAAAAGGCAATAAATAATCCACTATTTTTTCCTTTGGCTTTGTAGCTAATTTAATCATCTTAAATTCTGACAGTCCCCCCCCCCCCTTTTTAAAGTACCCATAAAATTACCTTCCAACATTTAATGACTCTCTGGAAAACCAATTGTTTTAATCTCTGGGGAACTCTGAAACACTCGAACCCAACTGTGGGGCTAGTGGATATAGGATGCTTAACAATGGGGAAGTCTAAATGGGGATTAAAGCCAGCATAAAAGAAATGCAGATAACCAGCCCAGGTTGGGTGCATGAGACAAGTGCTCGGGCCTGGTGCACTGGGAAGACCCAGAGGGATCGGGTGGAGAGGGAGGTGGGAGGGGGGACTGGGATGGGGAATACATGTAAATCCATGGCTAATTCATTTCAATGTATAACAAAAACTACTGTAATGATGTAAAGTAATTAGCCTCCAACTAATAAAAATAAATGGAAAAAAAATAAAATAAAAAATAAAAAAAAAAGAAAGCCAAAAAAAAAAAAGAAATGCAGAATACCAAGGAGAAGATTTCCCTCAAGCTCAGGCACAGGAGTAAAAAACCTACCAGGGAGGTCTTCTTAATGGATATTTTGGTAGTTAATATTACGCAAAGAGAATTCTCTCTCTGCAGCTCATAGGGAAAACGGGCATGCTTCCTTGTTTTAAAGGCACGACAATTTGTACTAGACAGTGTTATAGATTAAATATACACTCTGGACACCTTCCTTCCAACTGCCAATTCTTGGGTAAAGTTGCAAGCATACGGCGGCAGGTTTTGTGTGACCCTCCCAGCCACCTGCCCTGGTCATTTCAACTACGCTGGCTGGACCCCCTGATGACTTCTGCGGCAATAACTGGGCGGCTCTCTGGCGTCTCTGGCAGCGGAACGGCATTGCCACATTCTTTCTCCGTGCATTTCGAGATATCCTGCAAGGCACATTGCCATTTATTTCTTTACTTCGCTTTCCTGAGGAACACCAGAAGGTTCGTTACTAAATCTAGAACTCAATCCCTGCTCCCAGGGGAGAGGAAAGTTTAGGGATGGGAGGGGGTGTTCCCAGCGAGCCCACCCGGGAGTCAGTCACGTGTGGTACCTTGTCGGCCTGGGGGCTAATCGCGATGCCGAACCTGCAGTAGGTGACGAAATGCTCACAGTTGTTCCAAAGCAGGCTGTAGGGAGTTATGCCCAGCAGCTTCTCTGCCCTCTGCGCCACCTCTTCGTTGAGCAGCGCCTTCTTCTTGAGGGACCTGTCCAGGTGATTGACCAGGATCTCGGCTCCGTAGGCGAAGTCCTCCACGGTGTCCACGCGGATGCTGGCCACCCTGCAAATGACGCCTAGGATGAGACGCTTGTTGGAGACCACCTTCTGCGTGAGCCCTCTGTCTTCAGTCAGGGCCAACAGGATATCGGGCATCATGTGGGCGACACGGTTGTCGCCCAGGTAGATGCCATAGTGCGTCAGGTGTGTCCGAGGCACCTCCAGCACGTCGCCGCGGAGAAAAGAGTTGATCTCATATAAAGTGTTCCCAGCCTTGTCTTCCCCCGGGGCGCCCGAACTGAAGAACTTGAAGTTGGACATGAAGAGCAGCTTCTCCAGCACGAGCGACACCGCCTCCAGCATTGCGTTCTTCATCCTGTAGGGAAAAGGGAGTTTTGTGGCTGGGGCACCGCCGTTTCTCCGGGACCGGCCGCGCGGAGCCCGGCAAGGTGCGCTGCGCCGCCGCTCACCGGCAGGCCGGCCGGCCAGTGCCGCGGGGCACGTCGCCTGCGGAGGAGGGAGGGAGAGAAAAAGGAGAAGGCGAGAAGCCCGGAGATCGGCTCGGCTTGGCCGCACCCCACGGGGGACTGAGGAGGATGCGGAGCTGGCCGCGGCTGATCGCTGGGACAGCGGGACCTGCCCGCCAAGCTGGAGACTATGTAAAGCGTACCTGGAGGTCAGGCCGGAGCGCAAAGCCGCGCGCGGTGCTCGCGACTGAGCCTTTGCCGAGGCTTTTATCGCCGTCGAGGGGGCGGGGCCGGACGCCATCACAGACCCGGCGAGAGCGCTGATTGGGGCTGGCGGCAGGGGCGGTGCCGGCCCTCAGGCCCCGTGGAAAGGGCGGGCCGCTTCTGGGCTTCGAGGTCCTGCCCTCTCTCTGCGACCCCTTTCTGGGCAGGCCTCCTCTTTGAGATCCAGATTAGCACTTCCCGCCTCTCAGCGGCCGGCTTTGGAAAGTAGAAGCCGTGCAAGAGATCTTGCGCCTGCTAGATTGGGGCGCGTTCTGGGTACCTCTGGGACGTTTTTGGTGGAGAGTCGCATTGGGCGAGATTTCTGAGTAGAGCCACCTCTCGCCAAAAGGTTGGATGCTCGGAGACGTCGGCTTCCTAAAATATCTAAATTTACTTGAGAAGTGTGCGCGCCTCGAAAGCCTCCAGATTCCTTCCTAAACTCCGTAGAGCAGTGGTCCTGCACTCCGCGCACTCTTCTCCCCTTTAAATGCCCCCGAATGACCCTCGCTGTCCGCTGGCGCGCGGGTGGGAAGCGGCGCTCGGTTGGGAAGCGACCCCGCGAGCGAGCGGAACCCGAGGCGCCTCCGCGTCCCGGGGCGCCAGGGACCGTTGAGCGCCCGGTTCCCAACGGTCGACAAGTAAAACGACGAAGCGCCTAACATTCTCTTGGAAAACCTAATTAATTTTTCCAGCTTCAGAGTCACACGGATCCTGTTTCTTCGGTTCGCTCACCGAAACTTCGCCTCTTCAGCGCAGCCCCCCGGACGCGACCGAGCACGGGGCGCTGCCCTCCTGGCCCGAGCGCCCGGGGCCGCGCACAGCGGGGCGGTTCCGGGGCGCACGTGCTCCAGGGCGCCGCGGTCGCCGAGTCCGCGCCACTCTCCTTACGCGGAGTCCCGACCCATCGCCGAGTTCCGTGCTCACGCATTATGTAGACATGTAAATTCCTCGGACAAAGGCCACGATGAGGGCGCCTCGGTTGGCTCCACAAAGCCGCCCCGTGCGGAGCTAACAGGTTCTGTCAGCTAGCAAATTCTCCGCACGCCTGGGCGAGGGCGCTCCCGGCGGGTGATGGATGAAGGGACACCCCTCTTACCTGGAAGACGGAGAGGAATGGAGACCAGAGGGGGAGGAGGCCGGCTCCCTATTATCCTCCGAGGCCCAGCCTTCGCTCTCACTCGTTATCTGCCGTCAGCGCTCTGCCCCAGACGTCCGGCTGCTGGTGACTTTTGTTCATTTCACAAAAGATTTCTAATCACATTTTAGTCCCAGCAAAGAGAAGAAAATTCCATTTCCCACACACACACACACACACACAAAAAAAAACAGAACAAATCAAAAAAGGAAGGTGGGGTAAGAGGGGAGAGGCAGTGTATGAGGAACTTTTAAGATATTATTTCCCCATTCTTAGCCCCAAATTTAAAGAAAAGAGCGGTTAGCGGGTAGCTTAATCAAACTCCTGGACACACAGGCGCTAGTTAACGTCCAGCAGCACACCAGCTCCCGAGGTCTGCAACTCTGGGATGTCTGTGGACATTTTTAGCAGTCCGATCCAGACCTTGGCATACACGTTAACTGCAGACCCGGCTCTGGTCTCGCTGCTCTGGTCCAGTTTGGGGAAAGCACGGATACCTGGGCCTCCAGAGTCAAGAGCTAAGAGGCCCGGGGAGATCAAAAGGGACTTGGTAATTAGCGATTTCCGTCTCTAGTGGTCACTAACCCGACTTAAAACGCTAAGACAGTCTGCACCCGGCCAATTTGCTGGAGACAAAAGCAAGGAGAACTGCCTCACGGCAGGCAGTTTCACTCTTTCAGAGAGGGGGTTGGGCGTGGGGGTGGGAATTAAGCAGAAATCACCTATAGACCTAGTCGCATCCCCGGGGCGTTTTGTGACTCAGGCAGCGCCAAGCCGATTTGCATTTGAGTTTTCTCTTTCCCAGTAAAGTTAATTTTTGGACCGCCGCCTCTGAAAAGGGAGTCACTTAACGAAAGAAAAAGAGAGAAAGAGATATGAGAGTAATATGAAGCATGAAGCCGACTACGTTGCTCAAGATGTAGGCGCTCTGCTGTCTTGGGCAATGAATGGTGAGAGTGTCCATAGTTTCTGGGAGGTTATTTTTGCCTGGGTTAAGTCCCTATTTTTAAGCCAGATTGTTATGCTGTTGAATAAATTTATTTTTCTCAATGTAACTGCCCCAGAGCTGCCCTCTCGGCCTGCCCTGCCTGCCGGGAATTCGGCTCCGGGAACCTGTAGGAGAAAATGAAACGTCTTCATGTGTCCATGTTTGAAGTCTCTTCAGATCTGTCGAGCACGGAGGCGTTAGCGAGGACTAGGCTGTTTTTCCGCTGAGAAAATGAGCTCTTGTTGGCTGAACAAAACTTTCCTTACAACTGCAGTAGTCAACATTCTCAAAGTCGCATATAAGTCTGCCTCCCTAAATCAGTCAAACTAAGGAAACACAATTGCTATTAGAAGCAAAGGCCCCTAACATCAGAACATCTTCCTTCCTAAACCAGAAGCGGTCATTCATTCGTAAAGGGGGAAATCCGACTTGCTAGAGAGACTCCTAGTTTCCCAGTTGTAGGAAAGTTCGCTACATTCAACAAGTTTCGTGCAAACGCCTTAAATGCATTCAGAACTGGTCGCCCGGTCTGGTGGGGGGATTGTGAAAGCGTGCTGGCCTTCCAGGACAAAATAATAATGTCAAAGAACTATTAACTCTCGCCTCGCTGTTTCTTTCTACCTTCCCAAGGAAAGAGCCAAGTCAAAAGACAGTCACAGCATCCACTCAGGTCGGCGTCCATGTCTTCCAGTGGGGCAGACCACGATTCCACGGGGTTTCTGCATAAAGGAAGCTGGAATCCGGGCTCACAGAGCCCACCTAACTTTCAGGCTTCACCTTCAGGCCCTGTTTCCCGCCGCCGGTCCCAAGAGAAAGATCTCGTGTTGGTTCTCCGTTCTCCGGGCAAAGGGCGGAGTCCCGCAGAAGCCCGAAAGCTGAGGGGTTTCCTATCCGCAGACTTTTTATCTCTGGAGATCCTCTTCCTCAGAAGACTTTGTAGCGGAAGATTGGATCACAGAATCTTGTACTTCTTCTGTGCTAGGCACTGAATTAATAAGCATTTTCTCACTTAGTCCTCCTAACCCTACGAGTGTAGTCTCTGTTTTCCACAGGAAGAAACTGAGGTTATAAGTCACTCTCTGTGACGTGTGTTAGTGGGGATCAGGACTGAACCACAGCTTCTTTGTTCCCAGGTCCACCACCATTGAGGAAGGTCTGACTTCCCGTCAGTTCACCCACCTATCACCCCATCACCCAGGGCCTACTGTATGACCAGCTCTGTTCCTAGTCCTGGCATTTCGTTTAAATACCCAACCTAAATTTAGCTCCCAAAACTTTTCTTTTTCTGTTGGACTTCATTTCCCTGCTTCTGTAGTGCTACAGATTCCAATTTTTAACATCACTTACTGCTATAGAGAAGGATCTGATTATGGTTCTAGTTAATAGAATCCCTCACAGGAAGGCCCAGCACTACCTTCTTCTTAGAGAATAGGATAGGCGGGTAGGTGATGCTATTTTGCCAAGGGCACAGAGTCAGAAATAGAATCTAAGGGCAATGTCCCAAACTCCTTAGCTCTTAGAACTTCTCTCCCCTAAGCCTGACAAGTTTGGCTTTCTGAACTTAATGTTTTTTGATTTATCATCCTTCAGGATTATTTTGTTGTTGCTGTTAGATTTTTTAGACTAATAAATCACTGGGCACGTAAATAACGACAGTCTTAATGCTTGTTTTCCTTCTGGACTGGGTACCCATCTGCTCTCGGTCCCTTTACATACGCTCGGCTCTGGCCACAGGGACGCAAACAGGGTCTCAAAGTAGCTGACTCTAAGGAGACAAAGAATGAAAGGCTTTGTGAACTCCCCTCTGGGGGCAGAGGAAAAAGAGCTGACACCTTTTCAAGGAAATCTCCTAACCCAGTGTTCCCTGGTGTTTTCTGGCAGGAAGCCATTACCTCCTGGGAGGAGGATCCCCCAACTTCCTTGCGGGTTGGCCAGCACCTTACTCTGAGGGCCTCCATCCTGCATAGGGTCTTTAGAAAGATTAAAGGCAGCAGCTCCAGCCAGACAGGACTTAGTTGTTTTTTGTTGTTGTGGCTGTTGTTGTTTTGAAAGCCATAAAATAACACTAAAAAAAAAAAAACCCCAAGAAATTCATATTGAATATTGCAAAAATCTTATCTCTTCAAGAATATTAGAGATACCAAGGGAACATTTCATGCAAAGATGGGCTCAGTAAAGGACAGAAATGGTATGGACCTAACAGAAACAGAAGAGATTAAGAAAAGGTGGCAAGAATACACAGAAGAATTGTACAAAAAAAGACCTTCATGACCCAGATAATCACGATGCTGTGATCACTCACCTAGAGCCAGACATCCTGGAATGGGAAGTCAAGTGGGCCTTAGGAAGCATCATTACTAACAAAGCTAATGGAGGTGATGGAATTCCAGTTGAGCTATTTCAAATCCTAAAAGATGATGCTGTGAAAGTGCTGCACTCAATATGCCAGCTAATTAGGAAAACTCGGCAGTGGCCACAGGACTGGAAAAGGTCAGTTTTCATTCCAAT